GAAGACCAAAGTAGTACAAAAATGAGAAAAGAGTAGGTAGGAATAGGGCAAGATTATCTTCAAATCCCCAAGTTTATAAGATTTCTGCTTCTGAGTTGACCTTTAAAGGCTACATCCTGTCAGATTGATAGACCCAGCAACTTTCTTTGAATTTTGTTTTGTAGTCAGTCACAGGATATTAAATTATATTAGCCTTGGCTAACAGCTGATATTTTGACGTCAAGATAGTGATCCATTATTAAAGTTAAAGGACAGGAGATTTTTGTCAGAAAGCCTTTTATTCAAACTTACACAGAAACTCACTAACTAGTGTTTTAAAAAAAAGTTTTATTGATACTTTTTTTTCAAACAATACAGTTATTTCCCTATATACTGATCTCATCTCCCTTGTCTATCTATAGAACCTTTTTTGTTGTTACTATTCATTCATTTTCAGTTGTGTCCAACTCTCTGTGACCTGTTTGGGGTTTTCTTGGCAAAGATACTAGAGTGGTTCACCATTTCCTTCTCCAGCTTGTTTTATAGATGAGGAAACTGAGGCAAACAGGGTTAAGTGTACCAAAGAAAAACAGCTAACTAAATAAAACCAACTGACAGAGGAGTTTTGACAGCTTGTGCAACATTCTTTACCTGCAGTCTCTTACCTTTTAATAGAAAGGAGGGATGCATGTTTTGTTGTTTGTTTTCCAAGACGAGAATTGGTTACAGAATCACAGAATCAAAAAATCTCACAGTTGGAAGGGCATGAACCACACCTGGACACTAATCCCTTGTACCTCTCTACCCCATTGTGTTTAATCTGAGTTCAGCCATACCATCAAAAACAAATAAAAAAAGAAACTCTTGGAATTTCTTATACAAGCAATGTGACATTTAGTTACATGCCACTTCAAAATAAGGACTGTTGCTGGCCCTCCACTCCATCACTGTTGCCCCTTTTCCATAAGAGTGTTGTGTAGTCCTCCATCACCTAAATCCAATACATTTACGTGTCCTGGCATCACCTCCCTGATGTCATGGTCCTCTTCGAGAACAAAGGACAAACAACAGCAGCTTTAGCCTTCCTCATCTCCTTTGTGAAAGCTGCTGAGTGCTAGATGTCCAATAAGAGGAGTGATTACGGGAACAAGCACCTTGTCTTGTCTTATCCCAGTATGTGGCTGGACCATTCTGTCCAGCAAACCCCCCACCCTCCCTGCCTTCTTTCTGAGCTCCTGGAACTCATGCCTTATTCTCCCACAACTCTAATTGTCAGAATCCTCATCCTCCTCAACAGGGAAAGAGGAAATTTCTGGGCTAAAAATTGGAGTGATAGGACTATGGCCCTACCACATATGTGTTCCTGTTATTTTGAGTAGGAATTCAGGGCTGTTTCTCATAAAACTGATATTATAAAGGCTGTTAGGTTCTACAATATTATTAATATTACATTTCCACTATATTATGGGTGTTTGTGGGCTATGCAGGGGCACTAACCATCTTTTGTAATATGGTCTCTTTGGGGAAAATGCATTCCAAATTCCACACTAAATTAATAGAGTAGCTTTTGGAATATAGACCATTTATAAATCAGTAATCATTTGTAGTGAATTCCAAACCAGAGGCAAGTTTTGTGTGTGGCAAGATCATGAAGTCAATCAGACAACCTATGTTTAGCTTTTGAGACTTTGAAAAAATACTTAGATTTTGGAAGCCTCATTCAGTTTCATTATTGTTACCCATATGCTTGCTGCCTATACTCATTCCTTATTAATCACTGGGTATACTCATTAGGACTACAGATGAAAAAAATAGGCTTTACCATGATGATTTTGAATCTATTCTGGATTTGACAGAATTTGTATGAGGTTCTGACCCCTTCTTTTCTGGCATAATGAAGGGGGTGCTGGTCAAGTGTTGGCTATGGGCTGGGTGTATTTATTTAGGTCTGTGTACAAAATACTATACAAGGCACTGGGGTTGCAAAAATAGAGATTTATGAAAGTAGATACTGACACAGATACTACTCTAAGTTGCTTAAAAATCTATTAGGAGAAGTGAAGCATGCAAGCAAATAGCTAAAATATAAGAGAAATGAGAAGTGCAGAGGAAAGGAATTTGAGTGGGGAAAGAGGATGTTAGTGGGTTGCTGTGAGGTCAGGGAAGGCTTTATGGAGATGGGGGCACTTGAATAGGACCTTGAAGTAAGAAAAAAAATCTTCAGCAGGCAAGAGTTAGTGAAGCAGCCCATTCCAAACACAGGGTGTAGAGTGAACAAAAGGAGAGAGATAGGAGAGGGCGAGACAAGAATAGGGGACAGTTAATAACCCAGCTAGGTTGGCACCTATGGGAGAGTCTGTGAAGAGGACTTGCATGAGAAAATAGGGGAAAATTGGTGACAATCGCGGTATTGAGGGCCTTGAATGGCAGGATTGGGAGTGTATACTTGTTTGCTTAGGCAATGAGGGGAAACAGAAATTTCTAAGCAGAAGAATGACATGATTAGAGCGGTTGGGGCAGGACTCTGGTCCTCACAGAGATGTGTATCTGAGCAGTGTACAATGACTTATTTGGGCAGCAGTGTGAAGGGTGGTTTAGAGAAGCAATAAGCTTCAATCTATCACTTAGGAAGCTAATCCAGTGGCAGATAGCTTAGATGAGAGGAAATAAAGGCCCGAACCTGGGTGGTTGCTGTGTGAGGAGAAAAGAAAAGGCAGGTGGGAGAGAAATTGTGAGTGTAGACTTGATAGGACTTGGTGTCAGATTGAATGGAAGGCTGGTGAGGGAATGGGGGAAAAGCCAATGATTAATATAAAGTTTTGAGGCCAATATGATACCATCAACAAAACAAATTGTAGGGGAGGGGAAGGCTTTTTTTTGAGTGCAGGGGGACTTGATGAATTCATAAGATAATCAGTCTTGAGCTGGAAAGGGACCTCAAGGGCCCATCTAGTCTAACTCTATCATTTTGCATTTGAAGAAACGGAGGCCTAGAAATGGTAAGTGTATGACTAATATGGAAATATGTTTTGCATGACTGTACATGTATAACCTATACCAAATTGCTTGCCTTCTCAATGAGGGGGGAGAGGAGGGAGGATAGGAGAGAATTTAGAACTCAAAATTTTTAAAAAAGGTTAAAACTGTTTTTATTTATAATTGGGAAAAAATAAAAGATAAAATATACACAAAATAAAACTCAAGGGATAGAAAAGTTAAGTGACTTGCCCAAGGTTGCACCTTGCTTCTTAGTAAGGTCTGAGGGTTTAAACCCAGAGTTCTTTCCACTATCTTACTCTATCTCCAGTTTTTAAAATGTTGAATTTGGGATCCTGGAGGTATTCAGCAGGAAGCAGGCATGGAATTATGCAACTAGAGCTCTGGAGAGACATTGGAGGTAGAAATAGAGACTTGAGAATCATCTACAAAGGTGACAACTGAAGCTGTGGAAGGAAAGGAGATCGTCAACAGAGAGAGTCGAGAGACAGGAGGGCCAAGGACAAAACTTCTAAAGACATCTGTGCTCTGTGGATGGCAGAAAAGGAGCAGTAAAAGAGGCAGGAGTTTCTAATGAGTAGGAATAGTTTGGGAAAATTTTACTTCTTAACATAAAAAGTTATTCAAGGTCAAATTCCTTAGGTTCTTTAAAGGAGATAAGCACTTTCGTGAGATGCCTAGCAACAGTCATAAACTCTGCTGTGAGTCTGGAACTTCTCTGTAAATGAAAATTGTAATTAAAATCACAATTACAGTGCCCCATTTCATGGAAGTCATGAATATCATAATTCTTTCGTTGGTAAAAAATGTCATTTCCAGGCTTACAGAAGTTACAACTCTTGAGTCTTAAGCAGAATTTGCAAACTTTAGGACCATGTTTTTGGTGAATCAGGTGTTCTAAGTTTTTTGTTCGTTTTAATTTTCATACTTTAACATTATAATTTGCTCTTTATTTCCAAGTACTTTATCTTAATAGGAGATCATGGAAATAGAAACTTCTTCTGGTACTTTACTTATATATCTTCCTTTTCTGGTTTGGAGTTTTTCCTCTCGGACCTCAGTCTTCATGAAAAATTTGAATTAAGTTAATTTCTTCTTTTCTTTTTTTTTTTTTGGTGAGGCAATTGGGGTTAAGTGACACAGCTAGTGAATGTTATATGTCTAAGATCAGGTTTGAACTCAGGTCCTCCTGACTCCAGGGCCGGTGTAATTAAGTTAATTTCAGTCATCATCTTCATAACTTTGGTATATAAAGTACATTTATCCCAGAGCAGCAATTGATTTTGAAAAATAGATATCTACTTTAATCTTCTACTGTCCCTCTGAGATAAATAGAAAGCATTTTTATAATTTTACAAAAAATGCATAAGTTCTGAGCAAACTCTGAGGTTCACCAAAGTAACCACCGTCATTAGTGGAACAGAGTATTAATACCCCAAACTTTTGAATTTTAGTCCGGGACATAGAATGGGTGTTATGAAGATGTGCTTGCAAGCCTGGAGCTTCACAATGCATTTTTTAGGGGTAAGATTTTTTGCCTCTTGATTTTGTTTTAAAATACATTTTATTTATACCTTTTATACTTACATCACAGTCTTTTCCTACCCACTGTTCTAGGCTGAACTCTTCATTGTGACACAGAAAAACAATCAAGCAAAAATAGTCAATAAAGAGTCTGTGCATTTTGTTGTAGTGGTCCTCTAAAGCTCTGCCCTGAGGGGAGGAATTATGGATTTAAAAAAAATTTATTATAAACAACAGTCATCAGCAAACATACATTTCAGTGTGCAGAGAAGGGCATAAAAGATGTCATTCTGGGCTGGACTGCCTGCCCAGTCTTTGAAGGACTTTCCTGGGATTGTAGAGATTTCTGGGCTAAAACATATGTATGTATAGGAAACCCATGATTTTTTTGGTCCTGATGGCTTTAAAGGGTTTTTTCCCTCATCCAGGTTGTTTGGACCATAGCAGAAATGAGGAGGAGTATAAGCATATCTAAGTCTATGCTTCTCTTGGCAGGGAGCAAGAGATAGGATGTTGCCCCTTGCAAGTAGAGACTGCAGCACTTGAGCATGCAGGGAGGTAATGAGAGAAGAGCAAGAAGAAAGAAGATCCATCTTGCTAGCAGACAGTCAGACTTCAGGAGTTCTGCGCTGCACTAGGGCTGAAGCCCATTTTTTGTCTGCGCTAAGTCTGGGTAAGTGTGGTGAGCTCCTGACAGTGAGGGCCATGAGGCTGCCAAAGGAGCAGTAATCAGTCCCAGGCTGCAAAAACAGAGGACGAAGTTTCCATGAAGATCAGTTTTGGAACTCGGCTTAAATGACAACTTAACTTGCAACCTGGGTGAGATAGGGAGACATAGTTTTGGGCAGAAAAGGGAGAAGGAAGAAAAAAAGAAGAGAAAAGGAAGTGCAGGATGAGGAAAAGAGGAGGAGGAGGAAAAAGAGGATGAGGAAGAAGTGAAAAAAGATGAGAGTCCAGCCAAGACCGTGTCAGGAAGATCTAGGTATGGTAAGTGAATGTGGTGAATAGTAAGAGTTAGCAGGAGTTAGTCTTTTCCCTTTCTTCTTTTCTTCTTTCTAGTTTCTACAAAGTGCAGTGCAGGGAGATTTCTAACTAGGGTTTAAATCACAATCCATTTTCCAATATTCCCATCTGGCTCAGAAGAGAGGTGGTAGGAAAGGAAAATTCCAACCCTAGCTTTAATCCCTGTTGCAGCTATTGTATATTGCTTTAGTGGTTATTTGTATTTTTTTATGGTAGTTGATATTGCTAATAAATTACATGGCCATTTAAAATTGGTTTGTTTGATCTCATAAATTTTGGAGTATGAAATTAAGAGGGGAAGCCAGCCCATGGAGCTCAAGTCATTTATAGAGATTTTTGGTAACTTATGAGTCTATTCCAGAGAATACCTGCTAGCCTACCTTTGGACTCAGCATTAGAAAGAAGAAAAGCCTGTAAGCAGTCTGGGTGGTGCTGTGGTTATCCATAACTCAGTGCATCTTTGGATATTGCGTCTTGTGTGGCATTAGACCACCCCTAGCACACACCCACACCCCACTTCATTTGAAACTATAAACTTTTATGACCTAATTCGTTCTTTTTCAAAATGTGTATTAAGTTTAACACATGGTAACAAAACTGCATTTGTATTCCCTTCTGAACTTCTTTTTGTTTTCTTTTTTAAAAATATGGATACTTTTTGATGCTCTTTTCTTTCCTTTTCACTTGCTTCTCTATCACTACCTACTCATTCCTCCCACCCCCAATAGAAGTCCTGCCTTGTAGCAAGTATAATTAAGGAAAACAAATCAACACATTCTCATTGATCATTCCTGAAAATGTATGTCTTCTTCTGAACCTCTAGTCCATCATGTCCCTGCCAAGAGGTGGGTGGCGTATTTTATCATCACGATGCATTCCTCTAGGTTCCTTGAAAGGATGTGGTCATAGATCCTCTGTTTGCTTTGTGTGTGCAGTGGAAAGATACCTAGACTTGGAGTCAGAAGAATTGGGTTTGACTGTTTATTTTGATATTTATAATTGTGTGATCTTAGGCAAGTCACTTAACCTCTCGGTATTCCTGGCTAGAGGTTTCATATTTGTAGCCCACTGACCCCTGGCTAGCAAAACTCCGGACTTCTGCCTGAACCAGATTAAGATGCAATTGGGAAATAGCAAAGTAAATAAAAAAATGTAATGCAACACATATAATGTTAATTTGTGTGTTTCTAAGTCAGTATGCTGCCTGCAGGGGTCAGTTTCTATTTGAGTTTGATACTACTATTTTAGGCAAGTCTATAAGGCTCTAAATTGTAGAGGAGATACCCTAGATCCAAGTTTCCTTACTTGAGAATTCCCTGTATCGATGAAATCTTAATCCTAGTCCCTATTATAAATTTCATTTTATAAGATTTGGCCCATTGTAATAATAATAAAAGGAATTTTATATGGTGCTTTAAGGTTTGTAAAATGCTTCATGTGAAGTATTTCATGAGGCAGCTAGGTGATGAGGTGGATAGCTAGCCTCATAGTGCTTCTGTTCTAGCTTAGAAAGATCTTCATGAATTTTGATTCTGCTGTCCAATGTATCTTTCCAAGCTTCTTGTGGTACCGTGGAAAGATCAGTGGGTATAGAGTCCAAGGACCTGGGTTTGAGTTCCTGCTACTTGGCAACTTGTATGACCTTGAGTAACTCACTTAGCTTCTCTGGGCCTCAGTTTCCCCAATTGTAAAATCAGGGCATTGGACCAAATGGCTTCTAAGGTCCCTTTCACCTTAATCCTATGATTTTATGTCATTGAAAATTTTGATAACCATGCCATATAACTTATTTATTCGTATGAAGAAGCAAATTTAAGGCCCCCTAGAATATGCTCCATAGAATACTGCACTTAGGCCCTGGTCACTTCCAGGAAAGCAGTTTAAGAGTGCTGAAAGGATGTTTTAAGATGTCATAGTAAATCCTAAGTCATCCTTCCATCTTTATCACTCCTATTCCTCCACAGTGGCAAAAGGTAGGGTTTTGTGTCAGTTAAAAAGGGGAGATATTCTATAATTGTTCTCTTTCTTTGATTCCAGCATGGCAAACAACTATCTCTCTTAGACATCTGTTGAAGGGATAAAGAAGGGATTGTGATGTTTCCTACAACCTAGCTTGGCACCATGGTAGCTATGGCCATGTAGAGCTAAAGCAGGGGCTGTACTACGTGAACTGACCCTGAACTTAGACCTCTGGCTATCTTTTTTTCTTCATGTTTCTTTCCTGGGCATATGTGATTAAATAATGACCCTGGGATAGACACATCTTGCCTTGAGGCAACCTTGTGAGTTCAAGAATTCCTTAAATTATGAATCCCTCAAGCAGACATAATTGGTAACAGATGGAGTGTTCTGTAGCTCCAGAGCTTCTAAGAGAAGATGCCTATCACAAGAGAATGAGCTTGACTCATGGCCTGACTTACCTAAACACATGGACTTGGAGGGAATTATTTAGACAGAGAAGAGCCGAGGTGAAATGAAAAATGCCTACCCAACAGTCTTGCAAACTGCTTTATGTCCTGAAGTTTGTCTCTTTTAAAAGAAAGATTTATAAAGAGAATTAATAGCTTAGCATAAGAACCATAAAACCTTACCCAAGTAACAGATTCCTTGAAAATTAGAATAGACCACATAGAAGTTAATGACTTCATGAAATAACCAAAAATATTAAAATGAATTCAAAAGATTAAAAAAATAGAAGAAAGTGTAAGACACATTTTATCAAAAACAACTGACCTGGAAAAGAGATCAAGGAGAGATACGTTAAGGTTCATTAGACTACCTGAAAGCTAAGAACAAAAAAAGAATTTGATCATCATATTTCAAGAAATCATGAAAGAATATTGTTGAGACATATTAGAACAAGAGGGCGAAGGAAAAGTAGAAAAATCCACTGACCAGTATGGGAAGAACAGAGCCCTGTAAAGTGAAACTAGAGACCTCTCTCCAGGTTGACATTGATCCATTAATCACTGCTCTTTGGGTCTGGTCATTCACTTCTAAATCCATGCAACTTTACTGTCATCATGTGCCATCTCTCCATCTTATTCACAAGGATATCATGAACAATGAGCATATTGTGAAACTATATATCTGTTACTTCCAGATCCCCTGGTTTCTTCCCACCCTTAATTCCATCTAGGCCCCTTTTCCTAGTTACCCCAGACTACTTGGCCACTCCTAGATCACATCCAGATCTTCCCACAGTCTTTCTGTATATAAGGTCCACCTTGCCCCTCATTAAATTGCTCAGATTCTTAAAATCTGGCCAATAGCTCAGATTCTTAAAATCTGTTCAATAGCATGGATTCTTAAAATCTCACCCACTTCAACTGGCGTTTTACTAAACCTTGTCCCTCACTCATAGAAGGCTTTAGTTGAATTCTATTGAGGCAGGACCCTCATCTTTTGCCCTTGAATTTTGAGGTTCCCTACACCCCTAGACCTCACCAAAACTAAAAAGAACTGAAGCAAACAACCCAAAGTTTCACATCTAACCAAAACTGCACAAGCAGGCACACTCATTAAGAACCATTACAATAATATAACTTACCCCCTTCAGGCCTTCAAGGTCTTCCTTTGTTATTATTTTAAGTTGATTTTACATTTCTATTAAATTTAATCTTATAATGGCCATCCTACCTACAAATGTTTGGGTGGATGCTTTGCTTTTGGCTTCACTTGCCTCTGGATGGCTCTGCTGTCACCTCTGCCATATATATGCTATTAAAGAGGTAAAGCTGTTATAGCTGCTTGTAGAACAAGAGTAGATTATATGATTTTTTTATGGGAAGCCAACAGTTTTAGTTACCTCAGCTCTATGTTACAGGTATTACAGCTCCACCTCTTTTGTCTTTTTGATATTTCTTCAGTCTTCAAAAAAGTACGTGACTCCCAAGTTTAGAATTTTCTTTTGTTCTCTGGCTTATAGAAGAAGCATTTAGAGATAGATGGCAGACTCAGATCTTTGTTTTTAAGATCTCACAGAAGTTGGAATCTGCCAGTCTGGCTAGTCATATATATGTAACTACTCAGCAAATTCAGTTCAACGAACACTTAAGTATCTTCCAGGTCTTCTCTCATTTTCATTCATTCCATTCCTTTGTTGAGTAGAGTGACCTACTTACGTTAAAGCAGATATACCTCCCCCGCTCCCCACCAAACCAAGGAAATTTGTTGACAACACATTTTTCATCTAGAATTAGCTTGAGAAGGAGGTGGCTTATGAGCTTGAAGGTGGTTTGTGAATTTATTGACAAGAGGATTATCAGTGCTGGGGTGTGGGTGGAGAGAATCCTCCCATCCTCCCATCATTTTGATTTCATGGTCAGGTATCCTAGTCTATTATTGCAATGACTTCTTTAAGACTTAGAATTGGCTAAACAACCACCAACTTTCTAGATTTGTATCTCAAAAATTTTGCTTTTAGTACCCATATTTCTCCCTTAAATAGGTCATCTATTTATGGTACAGTGAAGACCCTGGCTTTGGAGTTAGAAGCCTTTATTAAAGTCTTGCCTTTCATGCCTACTACCCGAGTGATCTTAGACAAGTCACTTAACCTGAGTTTTGGTATGTATCACCTATAAAATGAAGGGGTTGGGCTAGATCATAAGATCACTAGATCATTGCTCTAAAGGGACCTAGAAAAAT